AAAGAAGGGATGCCTCACGCTTACCTCATTGTTACATATATAACTTCCTTTTAGATTATAAAGCACTATATTCTCATTGTAGAAACAAAACAAAGAGTTGACAAATAAACAAGTCATTTGTTTAGGATGTAGGCATTTATACCAGGAATAGGACTGTCAGTTCAGTATCAAAACAGGTAGGATTAGTCTGAGTATATATGATTGATATGCTTTTGCTGAAGAGGGGATGTCATTTGAAGAAACTCTGAAGGGGACTGCTTAAAAGAAAGGGATATACAAGTGATTTTAATGAATTATTTGTTTGCCTGCCCTCCTCCCAGCTTGAACTCTCTACAGGTAGGGACCAAATTATTTTTGTTTTCCCACCTTCTAGAAGAATGTCTTGGCTTACAATAGCATTCAATAAACTTGTGTTGAATTGAATACACTTGTTTTAAGGATATGCTGAGAATTTATTACCACATAACTTCCCAGAGTAAATAGGTCTTTCACGTTATTTGTGCATCTGCCCAAAGGTATTATTAAGCTGTCAGCATGTGTTTCTTGGATGGAATTAAATATTTTTTTCCAGAGTTTTCTAGTTACCTTCTGGTAGAATCTACAGAAGCATGGTATGAATGGTTTTGGGGAATATGAGTGCAGTCTTTAACCACAGTCCCCTAGTCCAGTGGTCTTTGTGAGCCATCACTTGTAATTTGGTTGGAAGGGTGGTATTTCCAAGTTCCCTTTTCCTAGAGTTATCAGATCGTCAGTCTCAGCCCCTCCTCTTGGGTCCCATTAATAACATATGTCTCCTTCACAGTTGAATCATAACCAGGAAAGTGTTGCATTTCAAAAAAAAAATATTAACATGAAGGGACTTGAGCAAATTAAAGCCTCTTGAAAAGAAGGAAGGGAGAGAATAGATTTTATGAGCTGATTTTAAAGAAATATGAAATTGGGGGGTTGTAAGGAATTTTACAAAAAAAATAATGTCTGTCTTCAGGAACACAGAGCCTGCTGTGTAATTTTCTAACTTTGGGAATTTGTTTTTCAGGCTTGGAAAGGCGGGTGAGATGCAATAGTCTGGGCTCCTGCACCCACCAGAGTCTAACATACTGCATGTCAGAATTTTACGAGGGTTAAGTGGGAAATGCCTACAAAGAGAATTAGGACTTTTATTTTTGTTCTCATTAATAATTTAAATCTATTTCTTTAATGGTTCAATTCAGTGACTGCCCTTGGTAAACATTATTCTTCATGCACCTGGGAGAACTTGTTCTGTTACATAAGGGTTAGCTTTATATGTATATTTTCAAAAGTCCTTCCAGCATGGTTAAAGAAAACACCTTTACATACTCATTAAAATATTTAATAAAATACATGTGTGAGTCTCAGATGTACACACCTGAGACATGTTTGCAATCGGTACATTCCTTTAACATCTTTCTCGTTTCTGGGAATACTGACATTTAAAGGTGGCTGAAAGTAGAGGGAAAAGGTATTTGTAAAAGAAGCATATGTTCCTGTGACCTTCTTTGGTTCTTTTCTCTTGATCCTTTTGCATGAATTGAGCAGTGAGGCTGTATCTCCGCCAGAAAACCAGGAGTTAAGGACTGCCAAAAGTATGGTGACAGGTGTACAAGGACCCTGCACTCGGTTCTTAGATGATGAATGTCAGTAGTGAGTTCTGTATCAGGGCAGGTTCCTGTAACGTAAAGTTGTAGCCTTTGATTTTCCTCATGAAATAAATCCTGAAAGTAAGTGTAGGTTAACTAGATTAAAATATGTAAATGCAAAACAATAAAGTGGGGTTGTGGGTAGGTAAAGTGGAGAGGATGGGGTAAGACAGGGTTCTAAACCTTGCTATTAAGAAGTAAAAGTGTTAGTCTACACTGAAGCATTCCAAACATGTCACAGGCTTAAATGGGGAGGAACAGTTGGGGGACTTTCCATCTTTATTTTTATACTACCACTTTTAGGGAAAATATTAGGACAAGAACACAATATGGTCTGGTTGTCAGGGTGGTGAGAAGACTATGGTAGCAACAATGATTCTCCTCCATTGTGAGGAGGAGGATCAATCCTGTAACTCTAGCCTGATTGCCCCAAACTTGAGAAAATTAAAGCTTTGTGAAGAGTGGAAGATGGAAGGAGGTGTAAGAAAGTCATGAGCTAATGGAATAAATATCAACTACCCAGGAGGTTGAGGTGGGAGGATCACTTGAGCCCAGGAGTTCAAGTCCAGCCTGGGCAACATAGAGAGACCCAGTCAAAAAAAAAGGAAGGAAGGAAGGAAGGGGAAGGGAAGGGAGAAGGGAAGGGAGAAGGGAAGGGAAGGGAAGGGAAGGAAAAAAATTTTAAGGGAGCTTTAAATACATTTTTAGTACATCCATACACTTTTCGATTTTAGAATAGTCTTGCTTAATATACGTTAAAGATTTTCCTGGTCACAGGACATGCTGCTGTCTGTCCTCTGACATGTGGACCCTTCATCAATAAATATTTGTTTGATTAGTAAATTAATGAATTCTGAGAGCAAGAAATCATATGAAAAGAGTGATTTGGGGAGGAAGGAAATGTTTTACTTTTGATTAATTGCTAATCAGCTTTTCTTGTCTAACTCCCAACCTAGTTTCTTAGGTATTGGTTTTTATCTTTCTCCTTGTTCTCTTCTAATAATATTAGCATCAGTCACCACTAGCATCTGTGGAGGGATTACCATGCCAGGAATAGTGCTGAGTGTTCCATGTACATTATCTCACTGAGTCCTTTTTATACCCGTAAGAGCAAAGGCTGCCCTGAACCACCAGGTTCTATTCTTTTCCTTTTGACTCATTAAATAGGGCTGAGACGAAGGTGTGGAGGGGCTGAGTGAAGATGATAGACACTATATGCTGCCAACATACTTAATTAACAGCTCTAAGCCACCTTGGTGTGAGGTAGGTAATGGGTAGAGTTTAGGTCAGTGGAAGGGCTGGGGTAAGGCTGTATTCTAAACTTTTCTACCAAGAAGTGAAGGAGTGCTAGTCTACACAGAGGTGCTCCAAAAATGTTGCAGGCTTGAATGGGAAGGAGCAATTTGGGAACATTCAATCTGGAGATAATAGATTGGCTTTAGTGAACGTAAAATGCTGTATGCATGTACATTTTTCTGAGCACGTAGGGCCAAGGCATTCAATAGGTTTTCTGAGGATATAGGGCCAAAGTATTCAATAGTAGACCCATGCCAGCCAAAGGTTTAACCCTCCTGCTTGAATGAGTGCTTTTTTTTTTTTTTTTTTTTTTTTTTTTTTTGAGGTGGAGTCTCACTCTGTTGCACAGGTTGGCGTGCAGTGGCATGGTCTCGGCTCACTGCAACCACCGCCTTCCAGGTTCAAGTGGTTCTCCCCCTTCAGCCTCCCAAGTAGCTGGGATTACAGGCACAGGCAGCCACCATGCCTGGCTAATTTTTGTATTTTTAGTAGAGATGGGGTTTCGCCATGTTGGCCAGGTTGGTCTCAAACTCCTGATCTCAGGTGATCCGCCCACCTCGGCCTCCCAAAGTGCTGAGAGTACAGGCATGAGCCACCACTCCCGGCTAATGAGCGCTTCTTAAAATCTGCATTTGACATAGAGATGGAAAGTAGAATGGTAGTTGCCAGGAACTGGGGAAACTAGGGGAATGGGGAGGTATTCTTTAATGGGTATATACTTTCAGATTTACAAGGTGACAAGAATTCTGGTGATGGCTACAAAGCAATATGAATGTACTTAATACCACTGAACTGTACACTTTAAAATGATTTAGGTGGCAAATTTTGTTATGTGTGTTTTACCACAATTTTAAAAATTGAAAAAATATCTGCATTTGAAATAATATTTAAGCATATGCCTGGCATATAATAGGTGCTCAATAGGTGACTGGTTGCTTATCTGTCCTGTTCTCTTTTGTTATCTGTAAAATGAGGATGATATTACTACTTTATTGGCTTTTACTTCACAGGGTTGTTTGAGGGATCCAGTAAGCTAATGGACATGTAAGGACTTTCATTCATTCTATAGTCCTTTATCTAGGACCTACCAATTGTTAGGCTTTGTTCTACATTCAGGAGATGCTGTAATAAACAAAACAGATGTGATCTCTGTGCTGTGGACCTCAAAGTTCAGGTCATGAATTTTTATGAACTGTGAAGTGCTATACTCAGAAAAGTATGGAGGTAGACATGTGTCCACAGTCTGTTCAAGTGCATTTTTTTTCTTGAGACAGAGTCACTCTGTCTGCCAGGTTAGAGTGCAGTGGCACAATCTCAGCTCATTGCAGCCTCGATCTCTCAGATTCAAGCCATCCTCCCACCTCAGCCTCCCAAGTAGCTGGGACTACAGGCAAGCTGACCACCATGCCCAGCTACATTTATTTTTTGCATTTTGTAGAGACAAAGTCTCACTATGTTGTCCAGGCTGGTCTCAAACCCCTGAATTCAAGTGATCCTCCCACCACAGCCTCCCACAGTGCTGGGATTATAGGCATGAGCCACCACGCCCTCCCTGTTCAAGTACATTTCTATAATATGGCCACCCATTAGTCCTTGCCCAAGAGGACAAGTAAACCCTCATCCAAATGAACATGCCCGTATTGTCACAAGAATACACAAGAGAGGTAATCTGTAGACCTGGGCTCCAATCCCATCTCTGACTCTTAACTAGCAGTGTGACCTTGGGCAAGTCATTTCCCTCTTCTGGTCCTCAGTTTCCTCCAGTTTAAAATGACAGGGTTGGGCTTCATGGTCCCTAATGTTCTCTGGTATCTGTTGCACATCCACAATGTGAACTCAAGAAGGGCCCACTCTTTGTCTTTGTTATCTCTGTATCCCCAGAGTCCAGCACAGATCTCGGCTCCATCTCTGTGTATCTAATATACCCAGATATAGCCATAGTGGAAATAAACCCTTTTTAAATGTGCATATGACCTGACATATCCAGGAAGTAGTGTTACGGTTAACTTGGGTAGACAAAAGGGGCCTGAATTGTGTTGAGAGAGGTGGAAGAAAGGGGTGGTTTTTTATTTTCCAGGAGCAGGAGGCTGGCTGAGCCTCCACTCCTTACCTCCCCTCTGCAGAGATAAACGACCCTGGTGATGATCCAGCAGCTGCACATCTGAAGCCTTCCCTCTTGCTTTTGTTGTATATTTTGCAGAAAAGAGTGGTGGGAGGGGTGAGGTTAATGCGTTGAGTGTGAGTAATTAGTCATTCAAACCATCGACATTTACAATGACAGGATTTGAGTGCCTACGTTATTGTGCACCGCTCTAATAGTTTATCCCTGAAATTTTCTGCCTGTATAATGTTTCTTAAAATATATCACAGAAACATAAAAGATTTAATGTAGTGCTTTGTACAACCATTAGAGTTTGAAGTCAACTGAACCTCCTCAATGCTCTATCCTGGATGCTGACTGTAATTCTGTTCTTAATTGCTATTCAAATGAGGAAAGGAGGGCAAGTCAGGGGCTTGGAACCTGGTCACCTGCAAAGTTGGCTGTGAGACCCACACAGAATGTTTCATTAAAGTACATATGCACACTTGAGTAACTGATATATTTATTTGCAATGAAAATTGTGCTGTTAGAATATCAAAGGCGTTAGCCTGAGGAATCAAGTGTTCTGATTTTCCCAACCAGCCTCTGTACTTACTGGAGGATGTGCTTTCCAACAACACACATTTTTTTACCCCTAGTCTGTCCCTCTGTTTCCCAAGTAGAGAGTACAGGTGTCCTCTCTTTGAGATCTGTCGCATAACCTTAAAATGCTGTAGTTTCATATTCGTGCATTTAATGTCTTTACATCTTGGCAACTTCTCTTATTTTCCAGGTAATGTTTTAAAATCCTCTTGGTTCATTCACATATCAGATTTGATTCTGAAGTGTTACATTTGTGCTTTTTTTTTCAGCCTGTGTTGCATCCTAAGATGCATCATTAAGACCCATGTGGGGTCTTATTATAGGATGTATATTAACACATTTACAAATGTTTCTCAGCTTTCAGACTGTACATTTTTATTGAGAAAACTGTCTTTGTATGTGTCCATTTGTGTGTTTTCATCTGTTCCTTCTGGACACACAAAAGAATAACTGTGTAGTGTAGATGCAGAGCAAAGAGAGAGCTCCATCTACATTGGATGAGAATGACTTGGCCTAATTTTTAGATGTGGTCAGCTGAAGTAGCTCAGTAGTGAACATTGTATCTCATGACTCCTTTTAGAAACTAGTGGGGACCAGTTGGGCTGTCTAATCTACAGATGGAACTCACCTCCAGGAGTCAACATAAATTAGGAAATCCGCATAGAATGTAAGGAGAGCTACAAAGCTGATGGGGGGACTGAAATTATTTTGCTGCAGCCTTGTTACTTCATAGGCCTTCCTGGAACAGGTGGACCTGTGAGATGTTCACGTGGACAAGCGCTGGCTTTCACCACGTGTCTGAAAATGAAAATGAAAGATGAACCTGACTGTCAGGTGACCTTTAAGAGTTTTGGTCCCACAGAATCTCAGCATGAAATTCTTCCACATACTCCATCACTAGCACTAAATAAGCTGCCTTGGTGTGGGATGTTTTCTAGGTGTTTGTCAGGCAGCTGAAAGAAGGGTAACCTGAAAAAGGTAGAGAACAGAAAAGGGTTTCTAAAGATTGTAGGGCTCAGGGGTGTTTGCCATTAAATCAAACATAGAGGTCGGGCCTCCTGAATGTATAGATTCTGATTTTTCATGTTCATTATCAAGTTGGCAGTGCTTCTTATGTTTGTTGCCTGGACACCTGACTCAGTGAAGCAGTGAGACAACACAGCAAATGGAGTCACTGCAAAGACTCAGAAGGCCCCACAGCTTGGCAGAACTGAAACCTGCCTCCTAGCCAGGAGTTGTGAGGATGCTCTATAATGCCATCTCCTTTAGCATGCCTCCTTCCCTGGGGCCCATCTCCCTGATTCTTTTCCTGGACCCTTGCCTTGAAGGCAAAGCGGCTGAGTAGGCTTTGCTGGGTACAACTTCTATCAGTCCTGAGGGGAGCTTGATTTAAGATTCTTCTCAGAAGCTTTTACTTTCTCCTTGCTGTCTGGACCAGCCTTCTAGAATCCTAAAGTTGACCTGAAGCCAAGAAGAAAATTCTGGTGATGGGAGAAGTGGAGCCACTTAAATTACTTACATGATGGTAAAGAATCTTAGATGCTCCCCATCTTTCTCAGTCTGCTTTATTGCCTTGGCTTCTCTTGAGGCTTTCATGTTTTCCTTTTTGTTTCGTTTATCATTTGTGACCATCAGATGATGAAAGAATTAGAGTAACACTCACCTACGTGGGGCATGATGAGGAATAATCATTATGATGCCTCTGGGCCCTTTGTATTTTAGACATTTAATGTACATTATCTCTCATCCTGAAGATAACCCTGCATGGCAAGCTTTTTATTCCAGTTTTGCCAAAGAGGAAACTGCAGCTCAGAGTATTGAAGTAACCTGCCTCAGATCACACGGCTAATAAGTGGTAAAACTAAGTTGTTTTTTTTTCTTTTTTGAGATGGAGTTTCACTCCTGTTGCCCAGGCTGGAGTGCAGTGACGCAATCTTGGCTCACTGCACCCTCTACCGCCCAGGTTCAAGTGATTCTCCTGCCTCAGCCTCCTGAGTAGCTGGGATTACAGGCATGCACCACCACACACACACCTGGCTAATTTTGTATTTTCACTAGAGACTCGGTTTCTCCATGTTGGTCAGGCTGGTCTTGAACTCCTGACCTCAGGTGATCCGCCTACCTCGGCCTCCCAAAGTGTTGGGATTACAGGCATGAGCCACTGCACCTGGCCTAGAACTCGGAATTTAAATCACCTGTTCTCTTGACTCAAACACGCATTCCATTTTTATTATGCCACTCTGCTTCAGATGAAAAAATAAACAAAAACAAAAACAAAAAATGGTTTCTGAACATTGATGAGGATGTGGAGCAACTGGAACTTTCATACTGTGCTGGTGGGAATATAAATGGATACAGCCACTTTGAAATACTGTTGGCAGTATCTACTGAAGCTGAATATACGTACACCCTATGACCCCAAAAATAGAATCCTGGGACTATCCCCAATAGAATATGTTTTTTTACCAAAGACATTTTTGTACCAAAAGACATGTACATAATGCTCATAGCAGCATTATCTATAGTAGTTCAAAATTAGAAACAATCCAAATATTCATCAACAGATAAATAAAATGTAATATTTCCATACAATGGAAATTGCTATGGCAGTGGGAAGAACAGTGTATTGTTACATGTAACAGAGCAGATGACACTCCATACATGTGTGAAAAGGCACAAAAGAGTATGTGTTGTATGATTCCATGTATATAAAGGTGAAAAAAATAGGTAAAACAAATCTGTGGACTAGAGTTCAGAATATGGTTACCTTTGAGGGGTGAGGTAAATGACAGGGGTGAGAACCTGAGAAAGGCTTTTGGGGTGCCAGTCATGTTCTATATTGTGATCTGAAAGGTAGCTACCCAGTTGTGAATTGTGTTCACTTTGTAAACATTCTTTGTGTTGTACCCTTCTCAAGATTCATACACTTTATTACATGTATGTTATAGTAAATGAAAATGCTTCCCCCCCAAATCCTCTGAGCAGGCAAATGGTAATAATAATGGAAGCTACTAGTTATCGGATGTCTGCTATGCCTTCTTTTCCTCATCTGTAAGATGTAGAGGATATTAGAATATGCCTCATTGCCTTCTTGTGAGGAGACAATGAGAGAAGTCACATTGGATGATTGGCAGAGTAACTAATAAACATCAGTGACTGTGGTTATGTGCCCACCTCTGTTCTGATGCTTTACATAAGTCATATCACTGGATCGATCCTTACCACTTTGCAAGATAGGTGGCATTGTTCCCATTTTTCAAATGAGAAAAATGAAGGCTCTTAGGGTTTAAGTTCCTTGCCCAAGGTCACACAGCTAGTAAGTGGCAGAGCATGATTTCATTTCCAAACAGTTGATGATCAATTTCTGAGGAGATGGAAGCCATTTTATGATGGACAAATAGAGGATGGTGATAAGACAAAATGGAAAGTTGCAAATTATGGGCTGCGTTTGGGGCCAGGAAACCTGGGTGCAGGCCTGGACTTTGCCCTCATTTTTCTATGATAACAGAGAAGTAATTGGACATCTCTGGGCTTCATGTCCAATGTGAGAGTGTTGAGCTAGATTTTGTTCCCTTAAGCGCCTTCCGGCTCTGCAATTTTGCAATTCTCCATGTTTGTCATCCCATATAGGGCATCTTCATGACCTGACTTCATGAGCTTAAACTCATTTTTCTTATAAAACCCTATTCTAGCATCTTCTCAGAACTTTCCCTGAATCTCCCTGTCCTGTAAGCAGAAGTAATGCTTCTGTATTGCATGGTCATTGCCCTACACCAGCTGTTTACCTGTCTGTGTCCTCTATAGGCTATTAGCTCCTTGAAGATAGGGATTCATTCATTTCTTTATTCTCATGCAGGCTGCCTAGAACATTCACACCAGCCAGAAATCTTTGTTTAATTAAATATTTTAATCAAGAGAAAGTCCTTTTTGAGTAATATGTGAGTGGACAGCCTCAGGCGGTGCCGGACCTAAGGTGGAGACCTAGAGAAAACTTTGCCTCCATGTTTTTTGTTTTATTAGAGGTCTGGGAGAAACAATAACAGAATGGCTAGATTTAAAAAAAAAAAAAAGACATTAGAGGACTTTGCAGCTCCCTAGCATGTACCTATAAAAATCTAAAGTTTGATCAGTGATTAAGCATCAGTGAAAATTTAAACCCTTCCCATATTGAACAACCTCACTTAATTTAATGTCATTTTATTTTATGAGATAGTTAATAAACAGGTACTGTATTTGATCTTGTGAGTGTAGCCCTCTATATTTAGCTTTTTCAGCTTTAATGGAACTATAATTTTAATCATGATTGTTACTTTACATTTTAATTATAATTTGGTGTGGCTTAAGTATACATTTCTGAGAGTGATTGTGTAATGAAAACAGGAATTAGCTTTTCATTAACAAAATAATGGGAGAGTTCCTACTGCATTCTAGTCTGTGTTCAAAATCTATGGGCTGGCCTAAAAATAGAAAGGGGAGTTTAACATTTTGGTTAAAAACATGCTTCTAAATTGGCTGTGTTCACAACCCAGTCTCTTGCTCCATCTTGCTTTATCTTCTCTTTCTTTTCAAAAAAATAAATAAACTTTTAAAAGAGACTTTGGTTGTGTCTGAGATTTCAAAAGGCTTTTTCAATTGTTTTTATTTTTATTTAGATAATTAGCACCATGGAGCCTCAGGTGTCAAATGGTCCGACATCCAATACAAGCAATGGACCCTCCAGCAACAACAGAAACTGTCCTTCTCCCATGCAAACAGGGGCAACCACAGATGACAGCAAAACTAACCTCATCGTCAACTATTTACCCCAGAATATGACCCAAGAAGAATTCAGGAGTCTCTTCGGGAGCATCGGTGAAATAGAATCCTGCAAACTTGTGAGAGACAAAATTACAGGTATGCACAGGATTTGAAGCTATGTTGTTCCATTAGATGTGCAGATCTTAGCAGAAATGCACATGTGTGATGATGCACCTGAGTGTCTATATCATGTACCCTGCTTACAGGGTGGCACGGATACACAGTCATAAACTTACACCACATACACCACATAAGACCTTATTGTAGATTGGTACTGCTGGGAAGCAGATGAAGATTTTGGCACATCTTCATCTTCATGTAAAATGATCTTTTGATTTTGTCTCCTTTTATTCTTAATCATCCATTCCCTCCCTTTGTTCTATAGTTTCCAGTCCCACACTCTGCTCTCCCTATACTTTACACTAGTTTTGTTCATGTATTCTTCTCCTCTCAATATTTGCTTCGTGTGTGCCCAATGTTCTTCCAAGTGCCTGAAACAAGTGTTTTAAAAGGGGCCACTGTGGATGTGTGGATGGTTGACACAACTGCCCTTGTCCCTGGGGAGAAACAGGCCCTAAGGATAGCAGATTAATCTGGAATGCAACTACTCTGCAGTAGGAGGGAGATACTTAATGAAGATCTGCATTTGAGGTATTTTGTTTTATGTCATCTATCTGTTTTGAAGATGCTCTTTAAGAAGTGAGGGAATTTTTACTTGAAAGTGAATCAACACCCTATACAACTTCAATACATGAGATTTTTAGGTTCTGATTTTCTCCTAATTGACAACTGTTCATTGAGAACCAAATGTTTGCCAGACACTGACACTATAATTCTTTGGGGGAAAGTTTCCCTGTAATCTTATTGGCAGTGAGAATATTTTCTTAGAGATATATTAGGCTACATAACGATGGCAGTGAAGCTGCTACTGTGTGATACTCCACTCCTGAAATCATTCATATCCAACTTTGAATACTTGTCAGTTTTGAGTATTGACTTTTGTTTTATTTCTCTAGACAGTTTAATTAATCAGCAACTGTCCTGTAGTTTTTTTTAAAAAAAGGAAGCTGTGTCATTAAAATAGGGGTATACATCATCTTTATTTTAAATCAGAGATTACATTCTATATGTGTGCGTGTAATTATATATATTCTTCTGTTCTCATAATTCACATGTAAATTTGTTCCCCTTATAAATTAAGTAGTTTGCAAAATCAAAAAACTTAAATACCACTGCCACTTTCCAAAATATAAGTCATATAACACTCCAGAAATAATTTTCTTATTTGAAAAATTGTAAGATAATGCTTGTCTTAAAGGGCTTATTGTGAGGATTAAATGAGAGACTAGATATATTGCATCTAGCACAGTGTCTATTGCTTAGTGGTGCCTCAGTAAATACATCTATTATTATAAGTACCGCTAGTATGCTTCAAGGAAAGTGGCCAGAACAGAAAAAAATATATCTATCAAGTTCTCCAAATAGGGCCAGGCTTTGATGATCTTGTACCAGAGCACTGGAACATCTATCCTTAAACAGAATTTCCCATACGTTCAGAAAGCCAATATTTAGATTCCTGAATAATCTTTATGTAATAGGATGATAATTCAAACCAAATTAAAACCAGTTAACCATATGATTCTTCCTCCTACTCCTATATAGGAAATGTATTTTTAGTGTAGCCTTACCTTCAAAATACAGAGTCTGCCAGCTATATTAGTGAATATTATTAATCACCTTTTTAGAATTCCTTCAGAACTGTAGTGAGATTTTTGAAAAGTACTGATTCATGGTGTTGTTCCTTGTTTTCTAAAGACACATGTTTAAACAAGCAGATTCCTTTACTGAAAGAATGCTAATTTGGTAGTTCACCGAGTGGATTTGAATAGGAGTGACAGCTTCGAAGACAGCCTTTAATTTGGTATACAAAACCAAAATTGTCAACTTTGGTTTGTTTAGCACCCTCTCCAGCACAAGCAGAGACATACAGTAGCATCTGAGCTTAAAGAAGAAACTTATGGGGTTGAAAGCAGAAATACAATTCAGGCATAATTTGTAATTATGCATCCTTCTTAAATTCAGGCCCAAAAAATTTTTATTTGCAGAGACCTTATGGGAATGAGGCAGAGAAATATAGAGAGAGACCAGAGATATTTGCCCTCATTTGGTAGCAGTGTTTAATAAAAGTAAAACTTGTGGTTGTAAAGAGTGCTTATTAAATTCTTCATTTACACTACCTAATTAATTCTAGCATTTTAAATTAACAGTGAAACTAGTCCCTGCTGTACCATTCCATAGATGCAGCATATTTCCTCCATCCACCCGTTGTTCAGGTTTAATTGGCTATGCTAAAAGTCAGAGAAGGAGGGAGAGATAGGGCTGTGGGGAAATGGGGAAGGAGTGGGAATCGCTCTAGCGGAGGACCTCCCCGAGGCCAACATTTGGGGTTAGGTCACAATGCAGACTGGAAGAGGTGAGGTATATCACACTAGGCAAATGGAGATGCTGCAGCTGGTGGTTCAGAAGTCAGGGTAAATGACATCATGGGTATTTTTGTTGCCCTGATTTTTAACATCCCAGTCCCCCCTTTTCCTCCAACACCTCCTACAGATCTCAATGCATCTCGATCCTGTGAAGTTTACAAGGAGTTCTAAATATCCAGTGGGAGGATTGGGGGGTGGGAGGTGGCAAAGAGATAAGAATTCAAGATTAAGATTTTCCAGCCCCAACCACTCCCTAAGAGAATGTAATGGATTCCCTTAGAAAGTTCTGGCTTCTGTAACGTTAAAATCTCTTGAGAGAGAGAGGAAGTGACTCTGTTGATAGCCTTATCAGCAGGCTAGATTCGTCCCTGGCTGTGAATTGTCAATGAATTCTCCATTTGAGAATTCATTGATGTTTATGCTGAGGACATAAACATCACCATTTATCAAGCACTTCCTCTGTGCTGGATACTTGCTAAGTGCTGGACATACCCTATTTCATTTAACACGGAGAACAGCCTCCGTTTTCTTAGATGAGGAAACTGAAGCTTAGTGATTTCCCCAGGCAACACAGTTATTAGCAGGTGGTGGAGCTGGGAGTCACCCCTAGTTTCCAAAAGCATGATTTTATTTGGAGGCATGTACAGGGTAAAGACCCTGCCTAACCCCCACTTCATAACCCAATGCAACATTGTGTTCTTCTGAGCAGAGGTTCTTGGGCACCCTCTGGAGAGTCTATCTAATGCACCATGACTTTAAACAAGACTCATGTGTATAAAGGGAGGCAAAGATAACAACATTTATCATCCTCTGGGGATATAACTCAGCCTTTGTCTTCCTTTAGAGTAGAACCAAATTTACTGAAAATTCCAGTTTTAAGATACTTTTGGACATCTCTGTTACTTATCTTCTCAGAGACATTACATTTTTCTTTTTCCAACTGGGAAAGGACACTTATCAGGATAATCCAGGTACCAGGGAGAAGAAAGGCATATCCTGAGTTGCTCTTGTGTATATCCATGACACATGATGGCATTGGAAACTAAGTCTTTAGTTTTTCTTCTTCATCTACCTGCAGACTCTGCTGCTGGGAAAAAAAAAGGAAGTGGCATGTGACCCACTGAGTTCATGCAACCTAGAAACTCTGGCAAAGAACACCAAAAACCTGGTAGAAATTATATTATTCCCGTGGACTCCAAGGAGTTGATTCAGTTTCTTATTTTTTTTTGTTACCATTTTGGTTTTGTTTTGTAAACATTGAGATTGCCTTACTGAATGCAAGTTGCTATGTGATCAGTATTTTAGGGGAGAAAACATGTGGCTTGACCAAGGCAAGGTTAGGTGGCTCAGGGTATGTCTTGAAATCAGCAGAGCTGGATTATTATTATTATTTCTTTGCCTTTTTTTGCGTTTTTATAAGTGTTTATCTTGTTACCACCCCAAAACAAATAAGGAAAGAAAAAAAAGAAAAATCTCTAGAAAGAAATTAGGTGGGGTGCAGTGACTCACGCCTGGAATCCCAGCACTTTGGGAGGCCAAGGCAGGTGGATTACCTGAAGTTAGGAGTTTAAGACCAGCCTGGCCAACATGGTGAAACCCTGTCTCTACTAAAAATACAAAAATTAGCTGGGCATGGTGGTGGGTGCCTGTAATCCCAGCTACTCGGGAGGCTGAGGCAGGAGAATTGCTTGAACCTGGGAGGCGGAGGTTGCATTGAGCTGGATTGCACTCCAGCCTGGGCAATAAGCGCAAAACTCTGTCACAAAAAAAAAGAAAAGAAAAGAAAAAAAGAAATCAGTGTAAGACAGCAAACAGTTTTGACCTGCCTATTTACATTGTGTGATTATTTACATCACAGTGATAAAAAAAGAATTATATTTTTACCTCATGTCACTCTCTGTGTATCCATGCAGTTTTTTTTTTTTTTTTTCGAGTTGAAGTCTCACTCTGTCTCCTAGGCTGGAGTGCAGTGATGCGATCTCGGCTCACTGCAACCTCCACCTCCTGGGTTCAAGTAATTCTCCTGCCTTAGCTTCCCAAGTAGCTGTGACTACAGGCACCCACCACCACGCCCTGCTAATTTTTGTATTTTTAGTAGAGATGGGGTTTCACTGTATTGGCCAGGTTGGTCTCGAACTCCTGACCTTGTGATCCGCCTGCCTCGGCCTCCCAACATGCTGAGATTACAGTCGTGAGCCACTGCACCCAGCCACAGTCTACTTTTTAAGAGTAGTTTTCTATTCATTTCAAGTGAGTGTGAGCTCTGAAGGGAATTTTTTGAGGACAGGACAGACCAAACTGAACATTATCAATAACAAAACTGAATCTATTAAGAGACGAGTATATGGAACATGCTATTAATACGTAAGTGCTATGGGTGGTTGGAAGAGGTAAGGTTGGTGTTAGCTGGAGCTGTTGGGGAAAGTTTAAAAGATAGGGTAAGGATTTAGGTAGAGGAAAGAAAGGCAAAGGAATAGAGCTAAAATTTTAGTCAAAGAACAAAAGCATTTTGTGTTCCTCTGTGCTTTGGACAAAAGAAGTAGAGCTGGAACGTGTCTCTTTGGAAGCAGTGGTCTAATATAAAGCAGCATGGCCAAATGAAGTTAAGCACAG